AAAACTGCCCCCTAGATTGGTCCCACACCTCTTACAGTGGTGGTCAGAATGCCACCCTTACAGATAGGTAAAAAGATCATTGGTGTCATGCTGCCATACCATGAGGTGTTGGCCCTAGAACTATGCAGGTACCATCAACTGGGGGTCAGTCAGTCCCAGACCTGGGAACCCTGGTTGAGAATGGATGGCTTATATACACTTTAAGCTCAGTGAATGTTACTAAATCAAACCATTCTTGCCATGGCTGTGTGGAGGGAACATTGACCGATCCATATGGCTCACCTTTGTCATTCCTGTCACTAAATCTAGTTGTGTTGCTTCTGCTACAGAAAGTTTTGATTGCATTTCATTTAAACAGTTGAATATCTGAAAAGGATGTGGTCATTGTGCACTGAATCACAACAAATCTGGTGCTGGATGGAAGCTCCACTGGATCTCTTGTCTTTTAGCCTGTTAAAGTGACATCTACTGGGGTGGGGTCAACAAACAAAAGCTCCAACATTGGACTCAGCTTCCTTGACAGCTGGCAGTAATTTTTTTACTCTTGAATGGCGGCCCAGGAGGATATTAACAAGCCACGCTCTTCTCTTCACATCGTTAATTGCTGTTGACCTTTACTGTGACAAAACCAATTAATTACAATGTCCATTTGGCAACGGTGACAAAGAGCAAATCACAGCAACATCACTTAGGTTCATCTCCAATCCATAGCAGGTGAAACTCCATATTTTATGGTATGCAAATCTGTTGCAGCCCACTTACTTCTTCAGCTGAGCTGTTTGTAGGGTTTTTAAAAGAAATGATATATAGACATAGTGGCAACTAATTGTCCAGGAATGTCCAGAGGTGGGAAAATATCAGCCAAAATCGATGCTTACCTGTAAGAATGGTGCATCATGTAGCATGGGAAGTTAGTCACTCAACAGGGTCTAACTGGAATCCTAGGAAGGGTTCAACCTGTGTGGGAGTGTATGTGTTTACGTCAATACCATTTCCCATATCCCTGTATACTGTGTTCGCTAAGATGCCCACCTAAGAGTTTTTTTAAACAATCAACACCACCGTTTGTGGAAAGCAGTTCCGCAGTATTTGGTTAAAATGCTTTTCCTCTAACTTCATTAAGTGGCTTGTGTCTTCTTAAGCTCCCTGAGACTGAATAGTTTTCTCCCTAGGCTAAAATCACCATTTAGATATTTGTAATTCGCTATCATACCTCCTCTTAAGTGCCTCTTCTCCAGGGAGAATAAGTTTAATGCTTGTAGTAGTTCCTCATAACTTAGGTCCTCCAGTCCCCTTATTAGCTTTTTTGCCCTACTCTGAACTCTCTCCAGCTCCAGCACATCCTTTGTGATGACTGGTGACCAGAAATGTACAGCATACTGAAGATGTGGCCGAACCAGAGTTTTGTAAAACTTTGTAAAAAATTTACTCTACATGCTTTGTAGACTTCATTGTACCCCTTCATTTCCACAGAACACCCCTTCACGTGCATTAACATTAGTTGCATTGACATGGACTCAAATTAATTTTTGGTATATTGCATCAAGCTTTTGCAAGACTCCATTTGAAGTGACTTAAATGGCAGGCCAGTATACAGAAAATGTAGCAGGACTTTTCCAGTATGTTGCAGTAAAAACTTGTCATGAATGGACTCTACTGAAAAACCAATGGATTTTCCCACATCTATGCATTTTACCTGCACAGGTTCAAATTGTATAAGAATGTATCTGGTGTGAATAAGCTTTCAAGAATGTAGGCCTTAAACCAGCATTTACTGTATGTTTGTGAAGGTCCTCATTTACCCAGGCCATTTATCTAGTAGTAGTAATTAGTCACATTCAACTGGACTTATTGGTGTTTATTTACTAAAGCTGGAGAGTCCAAAATCAGACTCCCTTCTGCATAGAAACCAATCAGCTTCCAGGTTTCATTGCCAAAGCTTCATTGAACAAGCTGAGGTTAGAAGCTGATTGGTTTCTATGCAGAAGGGAGTCTGATTTTGGACTCTCCAGCTTTAGTAAATAAACCCCATTCTGTCATTTGAATATGTTTTGTAGCTCCTTCAAGCCACTTCTTCAGTTCTAATGAGTGTCAGGAAAATACCCAAGCATTTACATTCACAACGTTCACACCTCCCATCCTTGTTCTTGGACAATAACATCTGCCTTTCAATAGAAACACACATAGATCCATAGCTCCATTCAAGACTGGCCTCTCTTGCACATGGACAACCTGGGTGCCAACTATTGGGGTCCATCTCCACTCTCCATTCAAAATATAAAAGAATGTCAGCTGCACTGAAATTAGCGCCTCTTACAGTATTTTATTAATGCTCAGTGAATTGACTGCATACAGCAATGTCTCCACCCAAAAACCAGTCCTTTGATGTGTTTCACTGCTCCTGGCTTACCTACAAGGATAGGGTAAAACTCACTATTTCAGTGGCAATTGGATTACGTATTGGAGCTTGGTATGTGAATATAAATACTGGTTTATTTTCCTGACACTCATTAGAACTGAAGAAGTGACTTGGATAAGCTATGAAATGTCTTGAAAATGACAGAACAAGTTCAGTTGATGTGAATAACTACTAGCAGGGCACCTCCGCAGTTCCGGTATCTCCAGCACTGAATGTATGTAATGGCAAGGTGTGTGCTGGAAGATCTAGTGATTCTGGCTGCTGGGGAATCTATCATCACTGGTGGAGATCTGTTTTTGTGTGAGGCTCTATTATTGGGGGGGGGGGGGGCTATTGCTGCTGGGGGGGTCTTATGTTGCTGGTAGGGATCTACTGTTGATGGAGAGGTTGCTGGCTACTGGGAGATCTGAGGTTGCTGCTGGGGTAGGTCTTTTTTTTCCTGGGGGTGAACTTTTGTTGTGGGTTGTATATTGTTGCGGTGTGTTTGTGGAGGGGGGACTGTTGTTGCCAGGATGTTTTATGGATGCATAGACCAGCAACTCAGGGATGAGCATGCACAAGTTCCCCCAGGACAAGCGGATTTCCCTGGGGGTACTGCTTGAGGAAGAGAAGCCAGGAGTGCCGCCGGGGACCTAAAAAGAAGAGGATTGGGGCTGCTCTGTGCAAAATCACTGTACAGAGCAGGTACATATAGACATGTTTTTTTATTTTTCTTAAAAACTAAGCTTTAGTGTCACTTTAATAATTTATAAATGAATATAGAGCTGCATTATTTTTTTATTATTATTTTATATCTGACTGGCATTTATCTTTGGTGTTTGGGTTTACATACATTATAAGGAAAAAAGAACAAAAGTGACACCAAAGACCATTCTTTACTTTTCAGCAAATTCCCCTATAAGAATCAGCTGTTGCATAACTAGAGAGAAGCAGAGTTAGTCATTTCTTGTTCTACAACAAGTCATAATTTCTTACCAAAATTAAATAGTCAAATCTTTCTTATATTAGAAAAGTCATTAATTTTGTATAAATTGGTAATTGAAACAAGTTTATTGTACCCCAAATGTGTGCTTTAGAGAGAAAGAAAAACTCCCAGATACACACCTGTGGAATAACGATGTGTGTGTTTTATTTAATCCTCCGATCGCCGAGGAACGCAGTGGGATGTTTTTCATTGGAACCCTACTGTTAGGAGCCGTGTCTGGAGGCTGAACAACACATATCTCAATATTCAAAGCTTTACAAATCATTAACTGCAAAGACTTCTGACAATAGTGTTTGAAATAATATTTGAAGACAGATTTCTTCAATTAGACGTATGTAGTGGCTGCAGCCCTAGAAGGAGCACAAGAGCTAGGCATGACAAAGGAAGCTTTATAGGAACTGATGGAAATTAATGAAAAAGCTAGAGACGTTTCTGTATTTTAAAGGAAGAGTATATCTTAACCACAAGCTGCCATAGTAATAATACTTAAAAACTGAAACTACATTAAAACATATCTAAAGCTGAACTCCAGGTATGATCTTCATCAAGTACTTATATTGGTCAGGCTTGTATGAGCATTTCATACCTGAGTGGCCAGCGGGGAAGCTGACAATCACTGTACTCCTTTGCTGCTGAAAGTATTTTTTGTACATGACAGGGTCTCTTTAAAAACTAAATTTCAGGTGTGATCTTTGTTGCTTACTTCTATTGGTCCAGTTTGGCACAATGTAAGTATGCATATCTCATCCCTGAGGGAAGCTGAAACATCTCTGTAGTAGTTGGTGCTACTACAGTGGTAGCCCTGATCTGTGGGCTCCTGTGGGAGTGGCTTCCCCTTTACAAACTGACCACAGAGGGGCGCTTGCTAGTCACTGCTGCCATTTTTAGAACATCTTCTATTTCTTTCAATGGATACAAGATGTTCTATGAATGGAAGGAGTGAAGATCCTGACTTTGCCGTCCCTCCTCTCCACATCAACCCACCTCCTCTGAGTGTGACATGTACATCTTATTTCTATCCTGTCACTGACCTGTATATTAACTCCTTGCAACTTAACCCTTTCAACTCCTCCCTCTATGCATGACCTGTATCTTCTTCCACTGTGAATGTGCTGTATCTAGTGCACCATTATCTGCTCATTACCAGCATGCATCTTCATTTTCAAACATTTGTGGCAAAAAAATTAAAACACCTTCAGGCGTCCATTTGCTGAAAAGGGGTTATTTTGAGGGTGTTCATTCTGACCTTGCACTTTAATATGATATTTTTTTAGAACAGATAGTAAAGGAATGTTTTTTTTTTTTTTAAATGTTGTTCTTTATTGCTTATTATATTGTAGGATAATATATTTGCGTATTATTATAATGCACGTTATACTAGTATATTATAGTATTTTATAGTAAAAAATTAAAAACCCAGTGGTTATTTAAGTATAGTGAACCCTTCCCCAAGAACAGTGCTGGTCTGCCCCTTTGGGGAATTCTTCTATTGATGTGGGAACCAGGGGCAGACTGACAACTCATGGGGCCCCTGGGCAATAGGGGATAATGGGGCCCCTGTGTCCTTGCCCAAACTCGAAAAAGCCTATGAAAAAGGTACCAGGGGCATCTCATGGGGCCCCCTACTGACCCCGGGCTCTCAGGCAGTGCCCAAGTTTTCAAATGGTCAGTCCGCCCCTGGTGGGAACACATTTAGGTGATTGCAGTAGCTTATCATTAATTTGTGGCAGCGCATGAGTATTGTATCCTTATATATGTGAACCCTCACCTTGTAAAACAACCCATTCGGTTTAAAATAGAAAATGCAAGGCACAACATTTGCGTGTGTGTATGTGTGTATATATATATATAGTATATATATATATATACATATAAAACTATATTGTAGTGTTTTATACTATATTGTACTTTTTTTTCATTTGTATATTATTATAATTAATATACAGGATTTATATAGCACCAACAGTTTGCTCAGCGCTTTACAATATAAAAGGGAGACAATACAGCAACAATACAGTTCAATACAAGAGGGTTAGGAGGGTCCTGCTCCTTGGAGCTTACAATCTAAGAGGGAGGGGCTAGTGGTACAAAAGGTAATAACTGTGGGGGATGGACTGATAGGAGAAATAGAAGATTCGGTATTTTCTTATTATATAGGATTTATATAGCGCCAACAGTTTGCTCAGGGCCAGGGGCGGACTGACAACCTATGGGGCCCCCGGGCAATAGGGGATCATGGGGCCCCTGTGTCCTTCGCCCAAACTCAAAAAAAGCCTATGAAAAAGGTACCAGGGGCATCTCATGGGGCCCCCTACTGACCCCGGGGCCTCGGGCAGTGCCCGAGTTTCCAATTGGTCAGTCCGCCCCTCTCAGGGCTTTACAATATATTGTATTCTTTGACCTTGTATACTGCACTTCTTTTTATCCCACTGACTTACTGCCCTGCTCCATTGCCTGCTGTGTTGCTTTACTGCATATACAGACTGATTTTACTGTTGTGGGTTTAATAACACTTTATTATTGGGTACTTTACAGTAATATAGTATTTTCTTTATGGAGTCTTTAATGTAAAGTTTTTTTGGGTTGATTTATTTATTTCTATTTTTTGTAAAAAAAAAAAAATTACAAAATGTCGTAATTTTCTTTCAAAATCAAATCAATATTATTTTGATCCATTGTCACAGGCACCTCAAAATGGCATGGGCCTCATAGGACGGTGCCTACACTGCCTATTTGTGGATCTGGCACTGTATAAAGACCAATTAGGTACAGCTTTGCATGACCAAATGATTGTTGGTCTATCACTTAAAATGGCTAATAAAGGAGTAAATACAGGCAAGCGCTCAAATAATTAAGGGAAGGCACATTTGTGAACCTTGAAGCCAGTTTGACACGTTCCCTTGCAACAACTTGATGCGACCTTACAACTTTCTCAGGTATAATAACCTTCAATGCAATATTGATATTTCATACTAGAGCAGTGCATCCAATCTTCCTTGTTTAATCTCCCTGCATTAGAAATCAAATGAAACTTTTGTCAGGAAAGCACAATTTTCCAAGTCTTTAAAGATTATTAACATACCAACTGAAAGTTAATTTTCTTTTTCTAGTGTGACTTTTTTTTTGTTCCCCTCCCCCCCTTCCTATAAATGTTTAATCATAAAAAATCATTAGAACTGAAATGCTTCAGTACAATGTCTTCACCGCCCATTGCTCCAGTAGCTTAGTCAAACCTTCCTAGATTACTGTAATTTACAAAATGAATAAAAAAATTGCAAAGGCTTTGTTCGGCTTTTCAATGCACCATTAATACACTGTTCGAAAATTGGTTCCAAAAATGAAATTGCTAAATTCTGGAAGATTTGATGCCTTTTGCTAATGAGAAGCCGCATCCTTCTCTTTGCTAAGGATCCAGACTTCCCTGATAGAGTCTTGGGCTGTTTATTAATAATGAATGTTGGTGTGTGGAATGTTATCAGCTCAGACACAATCCAACCAATAGTTAGCCCTGATGGGGGTAGCTAGGATCCTCATTAGCTGAACATATTTAATCCAGAAGTTTCTTATCAAATGTCACACCTGCATCTCCAAATGGCATTTTCACATTCATTCGCATGTATTTCATAGATGAGGCTCCAAGGTGCTTCACGGAGATTAAGAAGGAGAGACTACAAGCTTATTTTATCATTTAGTGAGTCTGGAAAGAATCCAAGAAGTTTTTGTCTTGTTGTTGTAATTAGAAAGCCTTTTAAGTGATAACGTATGCACAGCCATATGAATATGTAGCGATCATGCGAATGCTATTTGAAATAAGGGGACAGCTTCTGGTTTTTTTTTTTATTTTTTATTTTTTTTTTCCCTCTATCCCGTTGTATGCCGGAAAACATAGAATTTTATAGTGCACTGGAAGGATTAGCTTCAAAACTTTAGGCAACAAAATCTGTCTCCTGTTGTTCACAAGGCTTACAGAGACAGATGGAATAAATTCTTTAGGTTTACTTATTACAACAAAAAAGGAAAAACATTGGATTTTATACATATGCTGGCACTTGAAGGAGTTAAATGGATGGGTCTTATCAAAGAAGAATAATGGGGTACACAGGGTTGTAAGCAGGGGAGTATTTACCACAAGGCAAACAAGGCATTTGCCTAGGGCAGCATTTTTCAGGGGGGCAGCACTGCCCCTCGGAAGAAGGGATGGAAGAAAGGACACGTGGCATGGGGACCTGGTGGGTTTCAAAAGAGTCTGCTGGTTTCATGACGGTGTATGCACGGCCCGACTCTCGTTCCCGGGGATATCCGGATCTGTGAAGGTAAGTGTCTTTCTCCCTCTCACCATGGGGGATGGTGGCTGGTGTATGGGGGGGCAGTGGTAGTGGAAGGCTTGCTCAGGTGGGGGGCAGGGGTGTTTCTTTGTCAATGTTGGGCTCTCTCTGTAGGGATGGGGGGGGGGCGCGCCGATTTTTGTGTTGCCTAGGGCAGCATAAAACCTAAATACACCACTGGTTGTAAGGATGTAAGGATGTACAGGGCCCCATTACTGAACATTCATAGGGGCCCTATACAGTGGTAGAATTATTTATTACAGGTATTTATACAGCACTGACAATTTACGCAGCACTTGACATATTGAACATTCACACCAGTCCCTGCCCTCAAGGAGCTTACAATCTAAGGCTGGCCATACGCTATACAATTGTCTTGAGATTTTTTTGCTTTAGATTTACCAAAAACCATATAATAGGAAGTCAAACCCAAACAACACTTTCAATGGTTTCCAATTAGGTAGGATCTTGCACTACACAGTTGAAGGTAAATCTAAAGGAAATTGGGCAGAAATTGGACAGAAAATTGTATAGTGTATGGCCAGCCTAATGCAGGCCAAATGCCAGCCATAGACAGTTCGAAAATCAGGCCCATTTTTCATCCGAAAGAATAATCGGCTGATTTGCGCACTGTTTGTGGGTTAATTCGTCGGCCGGTTTTCGCGTTTTTTCCACTTTTGATTATCAGTCATATTGGAAAATTCGTGGAAAACAACCGATTTTCGCGTCAATGATGGTCAAATCATCAGATCGTTATTAGGAAAATAATATGCGCATGAGCCGTGACCTGGAAGGAACAGAAGTTTTGCCTGTTATATGGGGTGAACTTTATGACTTGGTCGGCCGATTTTCGTAATAATTGGGGGTTACGTCGGTTTAACTAACGACCGATGTTTCATTATCGGAAGAAAAAATGGACGGTTTTGGAGCGTCTATGGGCTGCAATAGACGGGGTCTGGAAATTTTCGTCCGCACAAAAAATCGGCCGATATTCACGCCGTTAGTGGGCCAGCTCGTCGGCCGTTTTTTGCGGATTCTTTTCGTTTCATTGGATCGGTCGGGTCATCAACGAAAAACGGCCGTTTTTCATGGACATTGGTGGCAGCATTGGCAATGGGGCTGACCGATTTTTCGTTTATTGGCCGTCTTAGGCTGGTCACTATAGGCACTGTACAATTTTCTTGCAATTTTCTGTCCAATTTCTGCCCAATTTCCTTTAGATTTACCTTCAACTATGTAGTGCAAAGGCCTGTCTAATTGGACACAATCAAAAGTGTTGTTTAGGATTGACCTCGTATTATACAGTTTTTGGTAAATCTAAAGCAAAATTCTCAAGAAAATTGTATAATGTATGGCCAGCCTAAGACCACTATCTGACATACATTCATATATAAACTGGGGCCAATTTAGTCAGGAGCCAATTAATCTACTAGCATGTCTTTGGCGTGTGAGTGGAAATCCATGGCAGCTCATGGAGAACATGCAAACTCCAGGAATATAATATCCTTGTTCAGATTTATACCTAGGACCCCAGTGCTGCAAGGCAAGAGTGCTAAGCCATGGTACTGCCCGCAGTGGTTGTGTAAAGCACAATACTGTATATGCAATTTTTTTTTTCTATTTTTACTCTTTGTAACATCGTAAACATTCTTGTCTTTGATGTATTATGTCAGAGATCTGTTTTAGGAAATTATAGTTTCAGCATGGTACTGTTAGAGCTGATATTGATGTGATATTATGGTTTTCATTGTGATAATACTATCATACTGGAGCTCTGACTTTTTTGAGGTTTTCTAAGTTCAGGTTTAGGGATTTCAAGATTCAGACTGAGGATGGAAGAATTAAGCCTAGGTTCACACTACAGCGGTGCAGTAAATCTCATGTGATTCGCACAGGAACCGCATCACATTCCTGTACAAAATGCAAGTGTACAATGCAAACGCACACGTTCCTGCGTTAAAAATGGCTGTGTGTATAAGTGGGTGCTGCAGTGACCATTGGCTGGAACCGAACAGAATCAGCAAGGGAGAATGTCACCAGCACACCGAGGATTGCCAATATGGATCCAAATGTTTTAATGAATGATCACATAGTTACAGCAAGGCAACATTTCAGAGTCTCGCAGGACCCCTTCATCAGGCATGTGGTCACGTGCCTGATGAAGGGGTCCTGCGAGACTCTGAAACGTACCTTGCTGTAACTATGTGATCATTCATTAAAACCTTTGGATCCATATAGGTGATCCTCAGTGTGCTGGTGACATTCTCCCTTGCATTCTTGTACAAATCACATGTGAATTGTATGTGGTGTGATCAGAGCCATACATCTGTTCGCACCACACCCGCACCAACAACATTCAGGACCCTTTTTTTGGTCCGTGCTAGAATCGGATCACATGGATATTCACATCTATGCGATCTGATTCTGCACATCGCACCACATTTTGCGGACCGCTTTCGGGGTGTTGATAACTTAACATATACACCCGCATC